GAGCTAATCAGCCTGGAGATCAGCTCACCCCACGTCCCAGATCTGACTCTCATAGACCTTCCTGGCATAACCAGGGTGGCCGTGGGCAATCAGCCTGCTGACATTGGGCGCCAGGTACACCTCAGACTCCATCTAACCTTGGCCTTGACCTTGGTGGGGTTGGGGGTTGGGATAGGGTGGAGTATGGGGGAAGTAGGAGGGACTGCTGTATCTAGCAATAGAGTCTAGGACTGGGTTTTAATGAGTGCATATTGGAGGTGTGAGGGAGAATTTGGAGGGTCCATTGGTTGAAATCTCTTTCATCAATTTTGATGGAAATTTTCCTTGGGAAAGTGACATAAACAGGCAAAACCGGAAATAATTTTATGTTTATATACATTATATACATACACATATACATATATATGTGATTTTATAATGACTGGGTTTTGGTTCTAGTTACACATTGCTGAATATCTAAACTGGTGTGTTTTACTAAGGCATTTTATGTGGGGAGAGATGGCATTAGATGTAGGAAAAGTGTGAATCAGTGAATCTCACATTACAAATGAGAAATTTAGGGATGGAGTCAAGAAGTTTGTTGCATCTTATTTTCCGTTGTGACCCTAGACATGCTGTGGTTACCAGTGAACGCCTCGTGGCCTCCCTACCCCTGTAGCCCTGCTTCTGCCACAGGGAACTTGGTTTCTCTTAACTCTGCCATGGGTGATGCTCCCAGGATTGAGTTTTGGGGTTCATTCCTCCATAGTTACTTCTTCTGGGGAAATACTCACGGGACTCTTAGGACCTGAGGCAAGTGTAAGGTCAGGCCCTGTTTCGGTTTTCATCCCCTCTGCAGTGCTCACCTCCTCCTGTTTTCTCACAGATCAAGAAACTCATCAAGAAGTACATCACCAAGCAGGAGACCATCAACTTGGTGGTGGTCCCCAGTAACGTGGACATCGCCACCACGGAGGCGCTGAGCATGGCTCAGGAGGTGGACCCGGAGGGGGATAGGACCATAGGTAGGAATGGGGGACCCGAACATGGTAGGTGGTCTTCCAGTGACTGGGCAAGTGTCCATTGAGTCTGGTGGGCATTGCTTGGCATACATGGGGATTGGGGGACCCGCATCCAGCAGGTAAGACCTGCTACCTTTGCAGGGGCCGACCAAGACTAGATGAATTGAGCCACATCCGACTCCTGTTGGTCACAGGTTGACTGGTCACCCTTACCTACCCGCTTAAAAAAGGATAGTGAGCCCCTGAGTGGAGGGTGAAATCAAGGAGCCAGTTGTATCCACTAAGAATGATGTGAGATGGAAACAACACAAATGTCTGTGGAGGATGAAGGGTCTGTTTATGCAGCAGACTTGTGTGGGGAGGCCCAGGGGAGCTGCTGTAGCTGCTGGTGGGGGACACCCATCTTCCCACGGCCTGCCCTGCAGTTCTCTTCCTGGACGAGGGCTTCATGGGCCCCTGAGCTCTGTAGGAGCCACCATCTGTCCTCCAGCAGGGGTGACGAGAACCCTGGAAGGCCAGTGGCCAGGGGTGTGAGTTTCATCCCCTCTGCCACTGTGCCTGGGAACATTTCTGACCAGAAGGCTCTGGTTCACAGGAATCTTGACAAAGCCTGATCTGGTGGACAAAGGCACAGAAGATAAGGTTGTTGACGTGGTACGAAACCTCGTGTGCCACCTGAAGAAGGGCTACATGATTGTCAAGTGCCGGGGCCAGCAGGACATCCAGGACCAGCTGAGCCTGGCTGAGGCTCTGCAGAGAGAGAAGGCCTTTTTTGAGGACCACCCGTACTTCAGGTACACTCGCCTGGGTTTCTCCAAAGCAGATGTCTGCTGTGTGTGTGTGTGTGTGTGTGTGTGTGTGTGTGTATCGGCAATGACTCTAGAACTTTCATGGAAGAATGAAAGGGGAATTCACTAAGCACTAGAAAAATATAATTAAAAATCTTCAAAATAAGGAAGAGGCCCTGTACAATACTTTAAATAGTCTGGTTCTGGAAGTAGAATAGAAACATAAACAGAAGAGAAGAGAAAAAAGTCAAAAGCCTAGAAATAGTCCCCACTACATATATATTTGACACATGGTAAATTCCACATTTCAAATCAACTGGTTATATCAGTTTGATTATCAACCAGTGGCATTGGGATGATTGCTTAATATTTGGAGAAACATTTACATAGTGCCCTTAACACCTTATACTGAAATAAATATCAGTTGAAATTTAAAATTAAATATAACAATGACGCATAAACACCCTGGAAATAGATATAGACAGATGGTTTATACCCCTCTGTGAACACTCTCAGGCCAAAGGTAAAATTTTTCGTAAAAGGAAAAGATGAGTAAGTTGATGAGATTTAAAACAATGAGACTATGTAGAGTTGTGAAAATTTCTTGGGTTCACCTCTACCAGAATCCTGCAGAAAAACCTACTTAGAATTATAGGGGTATCAAATAGATACTCAACACTGTCCTGCATAGCAGCTCTGGTCACAATGGCCAAGAGGCAAAACAACTCAAATGTCCATCAGTCGATAAACAAAAACGTGGTCTGAGGCTGGGTGCCGTGGCTCACGCCTGTAATCCTAGCAGGAGGCTGGGGCAGGTGGATCTCCTGAGCTCAGGAGTTGGAGACCAGCCTAAACCAGAGTGAGACACCATCTCTAAAAATAGCCCAGCATATGGTGGGCACCTATAGTCCCAGCTACTTGAGAGGCAAGAGGATCACTTGAGCCCAAGAGTTGGAAGTTACTGTGAGCTACGATGCCAAAGGCACTCTACTGAGGGTGACAAAGTAAGACTCCATCTCAAAAAAATAAAAAAACACATGGTCTGTACATAAAATGGAATACTGTTCAGCCTTGGAAAGGAAGGGAATTCTGAGACACATCACAGCGTGGGTGGACCTGAGGACTTCATGCTAAATGAAGTAGCTGAGACACCAGAGACGAGCACTCTCTGGGTCACCTGCGGAGACCTGGAGCATCCTCAACTTCAGGGACATAGTAGAGTGGTGGGTGCTGGGGCTGGGGGGAGAGAAAGGGGAGTCAGTGTTTAACGGGGGCAGAATATCAGTTTGGGAAGATGAGAAAGTTCTGGAGATTGATGGTAGTGACAGTCACACAGCAACATGGGTATGCTTAATACCTCTGAACTATACATTTAAAAATTGTTAAAATGATCAGTCTTATGTTCTATGTCATTTTCCACAAATTTCATAAAATTGGCAGGTATAGAAACTCTTGCAAATGGGCACATAAGCTCAGACCTTCCTGCTGCCCTTTAACATGTAGGGAACCGTGGAGGAACTCCCTTGTGGACAGTAGC